TGTGAGGATGGGGTGGTTTTCGATTCTGTCCAGGGAAACCCAGTTGTCTTCGGTGGGTGTACGGTCTCTCCAGCGGATTAGGAATTCGATCCTTCGGGCTCCTCGTGGGTCACGAACTCAGTGGCTCAGAATCTTCTCGGGTGTTATGATTGGCTCGGTCGGTGGTCCTGTCATGCTGGCGGGGCGATTACGTGGCAGTTGGCTTGCGGATGGTACGTAGGGGCGAATCAGGCTGACGTGGAAGGATGGGCTGACGTACCAGTCAGCGGGGAGGAGGAGGTGGGCGGTGACTGGTGTAATCATGTGGCTGATGCGGAATGGTCCACAGTATCGGGGGCGAAGTTTTGGGGTGATGGGCAGGCGGAGATTCTGGGTGTCAAGTAAAACTAGGTCGTCAGGCTGGTAAGTGACAGGTCGGCGGTGGCGGTCGGCGTTGCGTTTAGCGATGATGTTCGATTTTTTTATTGCGTCTGCTGCCCGGGTCCGTGCTGCTTGTAAAATTTCGGCAAACCGTTGTGCTCGTGGCACCGGGTTGTCGGGATTCGGAGTCATCGGTACTGTCGGGTCTTGTCCGTAGTTCAGGTAGAACGGTGACTGTTGGGTCGTGGCGGAAGGTGAGTTGTTGTACGCGAACTCGATCAGTGGCAGTTGCTACTCCCAGGTGGTTGGGTCGTCGCACGTGGCTCGAATGAGTTGTTCCATGGTCTGATTTGTCCTCTCTGTCTGTCCATCGGTCTCGGGGTGGTACGAAGAACTGAACTGTAGTCGCGTGCCGAACTGCTGCCACAGGTTCCACTAGAAGTTGCTGGTGAATTTCGCGTCCCTATTGCTAATGATCACTGCTGGTATCCCGTGCAGTCGAACGACGGTGGAGATGAAGAGACGTGTTGTTTCTTCGGTTGTGATTGATTTTTTGCAGGCTGCGAAGTGTGCCATTTTCGTCAGTCGATCGACGACGACCAGGATCGCGTCGTTCCCACTTGCCCCGGCCGGTAATCTCGTGACGAAATCCACCGTCACCTGCTGCCAAGCACGCTCGGGGGGTGGTATCGGCTGCAACTGTCCTGCCGGCCGCTTCCGTGATGATTTCATGAGCTGACAAGTGGGACACGATGCCACGTGTCGCTGTACGTCGGTCAACATCTCGGGCTAGTAATAATACCGCTACAGCTGCTGCCGTGTTTTCTCTACCCCAAAATGCCCTGAGGTAACTCCGTCGTGTGCCTCCTGTAACAATAACTCTCGTAGCAGTGTGTACCCTGGTACCCAGATGCGGTCGGTCCCGGCTTTTACGTAATAGACTCCCTTTGCTGCTGCGAACTGCTGCGAACTTCCTCCTGTGAAGAATGGATCCGTTTGGTACCCGTGGGTAAATAGGCCTGTCAGTAGTGGACTGGTCTGGGCGAGTAGTATTGTGTGGATCTGGGCAGTGGGGCGGGTCAGTGCGTCGGCGATGTTCGATGCCCCCTTTTTGTAGGTGACTGTGTAGTGGAAGTTTGACATGAGGAAATCGAGCCAGCGAATCTGTCGTGGGTTGAGGTGTGGCTGTGCGCGAAGGTACTGTAGTGATTTATGGTCAGTCCGTACTGTCACGTCTGCGCCGGTCAAGTAACAGCGCCACACTTTGAACGCGTGCACGATTGCAAGCATTTCGCGGTCGTGTATGGGGTAATTTTTCTCGGGCGGATGCAGTTTTCGTGACTCGTATGCGATGGGCTGTAGGCCGTTGCCGAATTCCTGTAGCAGTACTGCTCCGATGGCGATGTCGCTTGCGTTGGTAACTACTTAGAATGGGCGGTGTGGGTCGGCGATGCGCAGTACGGGCGGTGAACAGAGAACATTTTTCAGGGTAGAGAAGGCAGCATGCTCTTTCTCCCCCCACGTAAAAACGACCCCCTTCCGTAACAAGTCCGTCAGCGGTGCTGTTAACCGTGCCATGTCGGGGACGAACCGACGCACGTAATTGACGAACCCTAAAAAGCTCTGTAGTTCCGTGATATTCGTCGGGGGGTGCCAGGCTTTCACCGTGTCCAACTTCTTCGGGTTAATTTCAACCCCAGCCTCTGAAATAACGTGCCCCAAAAACTCTAGCCTGTCGTGAAAGAACCCGCACTTGGAACCCTTTGTCAGTAGCCGATGCTCGTCTAAAATTTTAAATACTGCTTCTAGATCTGCTAAGTGCTGCTGCTTGTCGCGACTGTAGACGAGGATGTCGTCGAGGTAAACTATCACGCATTTATCTAAAAGTGGCCTAAACGCCTCGTTCATGGTCATCTTAAATGTCGCTGGTGCGTTGGTCAGCCCGAAGGGCATCACGGTGTACTCGAACGACCCGTACCTAGTCCGAAAAGTTGTTTTGGCGCAGTCCGATGGTTCGACTCTAATCTGATGGTAACCTCCCCGTAAATCTATTTTCGAAAAAACCCGTGCTGTTCGCAGTTGGTCTATCAGTTCGTCGGCGCGGTGAATGGGGTACCGCGACTTGACTATTACCCTGTTGAGCGCTCGGAAATCGATGCACATGCGAAACCCTCCGTCTTTTTTTGGCGTGGACAGTATCGGTGCGGCGAACGGTGACGAGCTCGGTCGGATGAAATTCTTCTCTAACAGGTAATCTAACTGCTTCCTCAGTTCGTCGAGCTCGGGTTGTGTCAGTCTGAACTGGCGCTGTACAGTTGGCTGAGGTGGCTGTCCTTCCGGTAAGTCGTCGGGAAAAGTCCCCGGGTATCGTTCCAACAGTTCCTGTAGTTCGGGCGGTACCGCTGCCAGCAGTTTCTTGAACTCACTCGGCTGCTCTGCTCCCTCTACCACTGCAATGTCTACTGCGTGCACGTCAGCTCCAGCAGCGACCGCCCGTTTCATGGTGACGGCGTTGACGTGTACCGTTGAAGACTCAGGCGACTGCCAGCGAGGTAGTTCAGCCCAGTTACCGCTACTTCGCACAGTGCAGCTACCCGTCGTCCAGTCAATTCGCGGGTTATACCGTCGCAGCCAATCACGTCCCAGTAAAATGTCGTGCCCATCCAGTGTCGTCGCGAGCATTGCCTGTGTAAACCCGAAATTTCCCCCGCAGCGGACTTTGACTCTCTCCACCTTTTCCCGTATGGCCAGTGGCGTGCCGTCAACTAAGCGTGCATCTATCTCATGTAAACAACGGCTAAGTGTCAGTTGCAGTTTCCGTGCGGTTGCGGTATTAACTAAACTGTGACTTGCTCCTCCGTCGATAAAAAACTTTACTGCTGCTCCCTTTATTTTCCCGTGGATCAGTACTGGGCAATCCGTCGATGTACCCTCCTTAGTCGTCCGAGCCCGATCGATAGCATGAATCGGTACGGTGACTCGGTGAGGGTCGGTGGGGTTGGGCGAGCAGGCAGTCTCGTCAGTAGTTGGCCCGATTCCTACTGACTGTTGGCGTTTCCCTTCCTTGGAGACTCCCTCCCCTGCTCTGCTCCGCGGCGCCTCAGCTCCTCTGGGCACTCACTCTTGCGATGGCCCAGCCTATTGCAAGCAAAGCAGCGCCCCTTAAACGGCGCGGCAGCTGCATTCGTCGCAACGGCATGTACGGTGGCGTGCTCGATCGGTCCCCGAGGGCGATGTCCGTAATAGGACCCCGGTCTCAGACGGCGCAAAATGTCGATTTTCTCGGCGAGCGCGAGAATCTCGTTGAAATTCGAGAGTCCGCGTAGCATGATTTCGTGCGAAATGTCCGCCTTCAGCCCTCCGACGTAACGGTCCACCCGCTCCGCTTCGTGCATGTAGCCGACTTGCTCGCATAATGCGAGAAAACCACTCGTGTAGTCTTGAACCGACCCGAGCTGCCGCCAAGTACGCAGTCTCTGACGCGCCGAAATAGAAGTCGCGATCGGCTCGAAGCGCGAAGTCTTGCGCAACACGCATCCCACGTGCTGTACTGGGCGGTTTCGCAGAATGAACTCCAGGTGACGGCTAGACCCGTGGGCCCTTCCTCTTGCGACGGTGGCTCGTAGGCGTGTGGCGACGTCACGATGACTCGCCACCAGTCCATGGCGGGGCCCCTCAGCAGCGAGACGGCGTATCTGATCTTCGCTGCGTCCGACTCGACGTAGTTTGCGTCGAAAAATATGTTCATCGTGAAGACCCACGACTGAACCGTCGGACCTCCACGCTGACTCGGGTCGAAACAGGGCGGGCGCTGCGGCTTCAGTGGCATTGGCGTCATGATAGCGTGGTCGCCACTTGTCGCCGCAAAGTCCACGTGCCGACGGGCTTCGCGAGGCTCCCGTGGGCTTGGCGCGACCCTGTTTCTCTCCATGCCCGGCATCGAGTGGGCGGCGCCATCACTGGCTGCGCCTGAGCGCTGTCCCACTCTGTCGTTCTGTGTCGGTGTGCCTGATGAAATGACGATCGGCTCCTCCAATTGTGCAAGTGCATTTGCAGGTGCGTGTGGTGGCGCCGGAGTATTCACCGTGGATTGCTGACGCGCGGAGTCACGTTCCGCCGTGAGCGTCGCAATTTCGAGCGCCGATTCTTCGACTTGGCGCACGAGACGGTCGAGTTGCTCCTGCGTCAGTGTCGCGAGAGTAAATTCGGCCATGGCGGGGGTGTCGGGCAAGCTCAGCGAGAGCCTCTGTCGTGGCCGTGCGTGCTTACGAGAGAGCACTACGAGCGGCGGTGCTGTGTCGCTGAGAGACGTTTACCCCCCCCAAAAATTGAGATAGTGGGGAAGCGAAGGTGTGGGTGCGGTCCGAGAAGAGATCGTAGGCTCTGAATACCAAGTGTTACGAGTGCAATTGAGTGAGCGAGCGAGAATTGCACTATCGAAGCAGGGGTACAATGAGCGAAGGCATGAGCGAAGAATATATAGCGAAAACTACAGTGGTAACGGTAATGAACTGTGGGTGACGCGCGACGGGCCTGGAACCGAGGTTTGGGAAAATGTCGAGGCGGAGGCCCGGAGCGCGGGTTACCCGCCGAGCCGTGAGGTCGGGGTGCGACGTGCGAAGGTGGCGGGAGGATTGTCGATGCGAGGGTTGCGAGTGGTAACGGTGCTGACTGGTGCTACAGTGGTGTACGCGCTTGAGCAGGGGCGCGAAGTAAGGAAAAGGAAATTTCCTTACAGGGATTCAGTCCAATATTGTTCTCCCGTGGTGTTGATTTGCAGTAGTGGTTGCGATTTCGTGATGTATTTGCATAAGTACAGTAGTCGAGTCTGGCGATTTCGACAGCCAAAAGCCAGCTAGGTTTCGCCAATTAGGCCGACCTCGAGGAATCCGATCCGACCGAGCCCAGCACTGAAGGAATCGTTTCCCCATCTCTTACAGGTAGGTTTTCGTTTTTGGGCCCTAGTCTCCTAGCGTCTCCTCCCTCGACTTCCAAGGTAAGCGCTGATAGGCTGCTCCAACTGCCAAGCGTGTTCCCTACCACCAGCGCCGCATCCCACGCGCGCTGCGGTGACGACCTCACGCCTAACCCGCTGATGCACCTTGTGTCTTGACCCGGGGGGCGCGTTCGCCGACACCAGACGCGCTAGAGGCGGCGTGGTGCCGCCACGCTTTCTGGCGCCACGCGCGCTCCCGGCGCGCTGCCGTCTCACTCGCTCTCCGTCACCCGCCACCCCAACCTTCCCCCCCCCCACCCGCTTGCTCCCTCCAGGCGTTCCGCGCGCTCGTCTTTCCCTCTCCGGCAACGGTGCGCGAATACACGTCACACGGCGGTGCGTGAGTGGGGGAGGGAGCGGGGGAGAAGGGGAGCGGGGAAGGAAGGGGGGGAGGGAGCGGGGGAGAAGGGGAACGGGGAAGGAAGGGGGGGTTGGGAGCGTGGGAGCGGGGGAGCATGGGAGCAGGGGAGGGAGCAGGGGAAGGAGGGAGGGAGGGAGGGAGGGAGGGAGGGAGGGAGGGAGGGAGGGAGGGAGGGAGGGAGGGAGGGAGGGAGGGAGGGAGGGAGGGAGGGAGGGAGGGAGGGAGGGAGGGAGGGAGGGAGGGAGGGAGGGAGGGAGGGAGGGAGGGAGGGAGGGAGGGAGGGAGGGAGGGAGGGAGGGAGGGAGGGAGGGAGGGAGGGAGGGAGGGAGGGAGGGAGGGAGGGAGGGAGGGAGGGAGGGAGGGAGGGAGGGAGGGAGGGAGGGAGGGAGGGAGGGAGGGAGGGAGGGAGGGAGGGAGGGAGCAAGGGGCTTCTGGAGTGAACAGCTTGAACGAAAGGGGGTATCCGTGGGGTGGTAGGAGAAGTAAGGAAAGATGGCGTGTGTGTTTTGGAGGAAAGAGATGGGGTTGGTTGGTTGGTGCTGAGAGGTGCACGGTGAGGGTAGAGTAGTTTGGGATGAAGGGAAGATGGAAGGCACAAGGAAATCGACAGAGAAAGAGGCGGGGGGTGCGACAGGGAGATGGGGATGGCAGTCCTGCATGCTAGGCAGTCCTGCATGCTAGGCAGTCCTGCATGCTAGGCAGTCCTGCATGCTAGGCAGTCCTGCATGCTCAGCTCACCTCGTCTGCTCCACACCATCCTGTCAGCATCGGTCGTTTCTTGTCTCTCACCCCTCCTACGGTATGTGCGGGCACGCACACACCAGCAAACGCCCATTTTATGTGCCTTTCTTGTTGCGCATGCGCTGTGCATCGCTCCCCCTTCCGCGCTCTCCCCCCTGCAGTGCTTGTCAGCAGGTGCAGGTGGTGCGCATGGCGATGGTGGGGGCAGCCAAGGCGGTGGAGGGGGCGGGCAACAGCGCGGCCGTGCAGCAGCTGGCGCAGTGGGCAGTGGACGAGCACAACAAGAAGCAGGTTGGGGGTGGGGTGGATGAGGAGGATGGGCACATGCGGGTGGGGTGGGGGTGGTGTATGGGGAAAAGGGGGAGGGGGGCCAGGTGGGTTGATCGGTGCCAGTTCACACGCAGCCAGTTTACCTCCCGCGTGTGCACCCATCTTGTGCCGGACTAGTGCTGCTTCCCTACTACCCACCTCAACCGTCATGCTCATTTCTGTCATCACAGTTTGTGCAAATCAACATGTGGCTGCCCTTCTGAATGCCACCATGTGTTGTTTTTCCAACATCCCATCACCTTATCCGCCCTCCCCTTCCCCTTCCCCCCACCGCGCGTAACCCACGCATGGCAGAACACGGCGCTGAGGCTGCAGGCGGTGGAGGGGGCGAGTGAGCAGGTGGTGGCGGGCACGCTGCACCGCATCCGCCTCACCGCACACCTGCCCTCCACCAGCCCGCCTGTCACAGCGCAGTACGAGGCGGTGGTGTGGGAGAAGCCGTGGGAGGGCTTCCGAGAGCTGCAGTCCTTCGACAAGATCGACGGCGCCTAGGCTGCTGCCCGCTGCGGGTGTTGCTCCTGGGGTGGGTGAGCACCACACATGCGTGCCATGCAGTGTGCTGCTGGTAGAGGGGGTTCTGGCAAGATAGGCAGTGGCTGCTCAGTGGCTCGCTCCAAGTAGCAAGCGCACACAGCAGAGGGGAAGGTGGGTGCACCATTCCCTTAGCGCCTGCTCTACGTGCAAAGAGCAAAGCCTGGATCACCTTTGATAGCTCGGAATGTACATACGCCTCATCAATACTCACACATACTGAAGACAGCTGAACATACCAGTACCGTAATCTCATTGCTGTTACTTCCAATTGCCTGTTCATGCGTCAGTGTTACCCATGCATCACCGCAAAACAAGGCCTGCAGTGCAGTGTACTAACGAGGCAAGCCAGTTGCTGTGATGCCCTGGATAAGAGAGGCCCTAGGCCCCCACATTGGGTCTGGGGTAGGGTGAATGATCAAATCAGTGAGTGTTGCAGATCTGCACTATAAAGTCACAATGATGAAGTAAATCTAACTCAAACGAATGCAATTACAGTACCATGATTATAAGGGGATTCATGCTTGTTGAGTTGAATATTTGTTAGCGGGAACTGTATAAGACCCTATCGGGAGAATCTTGGGTTTGATTCGAGCAACGGGCAGATGGCTGCAATATTACATTTCCTCAGCAAATCCCGTCGGTTCTGGTGAGTTGCACAACAGCGGGTTTGACTTGCAATACTCTGATGTCTTGCATCTCTAAGGACGAACCAAATTTCATCGTCCGACGCCATCGCATCGCATCGACGAAGTCTTCATTTTCGCCAACAGCAGTCGATCTGGACGATTTCCTGCGGTTGGATGGCCTCGCTTCAGCGAGTTCGCCAACGTGAGCACTTGCTGTAATCGTGTTGATTGCCGAGCGAAATGGGCTGGAGGGATGAAATCGAAGCATTGCAGTGGCAGCTGGGTGGCTATTCGCTACCGCCGATCTTTGGCAGACTGTTTTGGGTGCAAATTCTGTCAGCTTGTTGGGACCGATGTTGGCTGGTGAAGAATTGAAGGGGTGAAGTGAGGGGCAGAAAGCGGCAACTGTGCCAAACCTATCACATCACATCAGCATCACAATCGAACCAGAACCTGTTCTGCCTTTCTTCTCGGCCCGTGCTTTATGTCTGGTTATCCCATCAGCAGACATGGATACCAGTGCTCCGTTTCTCGAGCCATCGCAGCGATCACTTCTTCCCACCTTTCAATCACCCACCGTCAATTGTTCCGCATATCCTCACAACCATTTGCAACAGCAATTTCTTATCCGCAGCCATGTCACCCCACACGGAGTGTCTCGCGTTAGGAGCTGCAGCTAATTCTGTTTCACCTGACGACGCCGCGTGCGTCGCTATGCCCGGCGGCAGCACCCCGCCCGCGTCGCTGCCGGACCACATTCTGCTGCGTTGCCTCGCCGCCGTGCCCTTCCCGCTCTACCGCTCGCTGCACGCCGTCTGCGCCGCGTGGCGCCACCTCGCGGACCCCCTCTCGCTGCACCAGGTGAGCTCGCCACCCGCGACCAGCGCTCACCGCGCCGACGACCGACGTAGCGCGCGTCTCTTGCTGAACTCGGCGACTTGCTGAGTCTGACGTGTGGCGAGCCACTCTGTGAAAGTACGTCGGTCAATGCTGATGTGACGTAGAGTCCGCCGTGAACATTCAGACGATACGCAGCACCCGCACGAGCAATTCGAGTGATAGCGCGTGTTTTCCCTGCCCCGTGCATCGCAGCTCCCGCTCCCCGCCAGCATTGCGCCCCCCACGCACGCTCGCTCCATCCAGCCCAACCGCCCCTTATTCCCGCGCTCCTCTCTCCCCGCAGATCCGCCGCGCGGAGGGACTGACGGAGCTGTGGCGCGTCGACCTCGAGAACGAGTACCGCGACGCCGCTTTCCATGGCCTCGCCGGCAAAGCCCGCCGCCATCTCTCGCGCCCGCAGCCACCTCGCGGGTGAGAGTCCTCCCCTTAGACCCGCCCAGGCCATCGCCCAACGTCTCGCTTGCTTGCCGCCGTCGTGCCACTCTCGCCGCTTTTTTTAGCGTTCTACCCCGTTCCAAACGCTTTTCTTGCCGCCGCTTCTCTCCCAACCCCCCAGACTGGCGCGGCAGCGGAGCAGCAGCAGCAACGACATGAACCGAATCGACATGAGCGCCTGCGCCCATGCGGACGCCGCCGCGCCCTGCGGCAGGTGCCGCACGAGCGAGGACGCGAGCGACGTGCGCGTGACGCCGCTGGCGGGCCCTCTCCGCCTTCAGTACGGCGCCGTCGGTCAGTGCCTCGCCCGCCCGCCTCACACGTCTCGCCCGCTCCTTTAGCGAGTCATCTCCCCATGTTCCCGGTTCCCTTCGTTTCCCATCCCTCTTTCCATACAAGCATGATTCTTGTTTTATTCCGGCATCCGCCCTTACTGCTGCCGCGTTAACGCGCGCACATCTCATCATCGCGTGCGTCTGGGCCAAACGCCCTCTGCGTCCCCTCAACCCGTACGCCTCACCCTCCCTCCCTCCCCTGCACATGATCCATCCCGCTTTGGCCCCTGGTCCGGCGCGCGCGCGAGCAGGCATTCCGAACGAGCCCGAGCTGCTGGTGCTGGGCGGGCGCTCGCCGTTCCCCGTGTTCTGCCGCGAGGTGGTGCGCGCATACGCGGACGCGCACGCGTACAACGCGCTCACCGACTCGTGGCGCGCGCTCGCGCCCATGCCCACCGCCCGATTCGCGTTTGGCGTCGCCGCGTGGACGCACCCCTCCTCTCGCCAGGTACCCGCAGCTGCTCGCGCACTGCTGACGTCAGCCGCTCCGCAGATGTGCGTCCAAGCCGTCACAGCTTGGTTCTCCCACGCTGCGCCCACAAAACGAATGCCTCTTACGTGTGTCGCCCCACTCCCACTCCAGACCTACGTGGCAGTAGCTGGTGGCTATGCATCCAGTGGGGAGGCTTTATTTGATGCTGAGCTGTACCACGTCAGCAGCAACACGTGGACTACCCTGCCACCCCTCACTGTAAGAGCCACTGTGCACCTCACAGCTACCGCGTGGCCACTGCGCCGGCTTGGACTGCTGTGCGAGAATTCACTGATGAGGCCAGTGTGGTCAATGCATGTGGTCCGTTCTAAGTAATGGCACTTGCATGTGAAGCATTTCGTGGTGGATGCTGGGTGATCCTCACAGCACGAGTACCCCGCCAGCTCCATTGCGTCCTCTCCAACTCGCTCGCCTGCCCCTATTTCACCGGCCACATCGTTGACCAGCTCGTCACTACTTCCTCATGCTCTTTTCCCCCCTCATCTCTCCCATGCACGGCAGCACGCCAGTGGAGCATGCAGGGCGGTGGTGCACGGCAACCAGCTCATCGTCGCGCAGCGCACTGGCGGCCCCGCCGAGTCCCTCGACCTGGCCGCTCTGCTCTCCTCCCCACTCCCCACCTCTCCGCCCTCCCTTGATGCCATAGCTCAGAGTGTGACGTGGCAGCAGGAGACGGCTGAGACGAGGGACAGGCTGGTGGTGCCGCCCAGCCAGCAGCAGCATCAGCAGAAAGGACAAGCGCCAGCCAGCCAGAATGGAGGGGGTGCTTCAGAGAATGGGAACTCTTGCTGGGAGTCTGTATTTATTTGGCTGTAAATCATCTACTGGTAATTTAAAACCCGGGGTCCAAGAGTTTCTAAGTTAGGAAGGTTGCTAGGGCCAAGAAACGTGACTGGCTCGCGAACCAGGGTGCTGTCGAAATTTGTGGTTGTGGTTCGCAAGTATGAAAACCTCGCGATCGTAACCAGATCTGGATGGCAACGTCGAAATTCGTTCGCAACTAGTTTCGGATGGGCGCGAAATCTGTTTACGAAATCGTCACTGCTCTCGTCCAGTAATTTCGCGTAGCAAATTTTTGCCCGAACGTTTTCGAAGTTAGGAAGTTTGAGTCAGTATCTACTGGGTCACACCCAACCTAAGTTGGGAAGTTCGAGGCAGTTTTGGCCTGCTTGGGACTGGTTTTAAAATTAGCTAGAGTCTCAATTACTTCGCCTGTTTGTCCGCACTAAAAAAACAACTCCAGCATTGTTGCAATTGCGTGAAGAATATCACCTTCAGGGCCTCAGATTCGTTTGAGGGTACCCTGAGGACTCAGGGCAGTTTTTTAGAAACCTCATTTTTGTCCTGAACTGTCAGGACTGCCCTAGGAAAGGTATGCTGTGCCATCAGTGCTACATGTGACCTTATCCTGACATAGCAGTGCTACATTTCATTTTATCCTGTGCAGTGCACTTTGGTTAAGGGTTGTTTGCTTGGATAGGGTTTCATTGCTCAGACACAGAAAGAATGAAGCAGAGCAGAGCAAAGTATTGAAGAGCCATTTGTCAAACATTTATAATGATGAGGAACAAGCATTTCAAAATCCATCGTCATCGTCGTACTCCTGATCATCTTCACACTCACCATCATCATCATCATCATCATCATCATCATCATCATCATCATCATCATCATCATCATCATCATCATCATCATCATCATCATCATCATCATCATCATCATCATCATCATCATCATCATCATCATCATCATCATCATCATCATCATCATCATTGTCCCCCCCACTATGAGCACAGGCATCATCTGCGTAATCGTCACGCTTCTCTGCAAGGGAACCCCGGAACACTGCGCCAGTCCTCTTCGATACATCCACATTTTTTGCTTTGCGCTTGGTGGGTCGCCTCTTCTTGGTGTTGCGCCACAGTGCCACAACTTTACTCCACTCCATGTCGTAGTCCAACAGACTGAGCGTCATGAGGTCGCCCAGCTTCGCGTCGCACAAGCTGGTCCGGATCCAACTCTTGATCACATTTTGTCACAAAAATCCGCGCTCCCACTCCATCGTGCTGAGCGGCAACACCGCCACAGCCACCCAGAGCCGCACCAGGTTCGGATAGGTCCTCTGCCAGTCGGAAGTTGACAAGACCGCCCGCAAGCCCGCATGGAAGGGCTGCTCCTCTTTTGGCGCACCGGACAGCACAGGCAGAAAAGTGCGCATCTCCTTCCGCACTTCGCGCTTGTTGACACCTTCTAGGTGGGGTGTTGAAGCAACATACAAGAGCAAAATTAACACGGCCGGTTATATGGGGTACAAGACACACTGCAAAGTTTGTGTGCGAACAGATTTAGGAGCTCACCAGGAAGGATCTCATCCCTGTCGCGCGCATGGAACATCACCGCCAGCTTCTCCACGTGTTCCTTGCACTCCGCGTCCTTCGCCTCTTTCCCACGCGGCCAGGTTCTTGGCATGAACAGCTTCGCGGCGTTGAGATTCGATAGGTCGCCAAGCCAAAAGTCTAGTTTGTAAAGCAGCTCCGTCGCAAACGAGCGGCACGTCCGAATGCAAGACGGCAGGTCACCAGCGCCGACCGAGTAGCCGGGAATCGGCTCCTTGTGCAGGGTGAACTCATGCTCCCTCGGCTGACCGTCCTTGTCTATTCCCTGCACTTTCACGCGCCTGCTACATGCTGCACTGTGCCGAGCAAGGCACGGTGACAATTGTGCGCTCGCCCCAGCGCCGAACTGTTGCCCACAGTCGATGTACCGCTCCTTGATGAACACTTCGATGCGCCTTAGCTGGGAGTGAACCGCCGTCAAGTCCACCTGTGGTCGGGTTTAGGAGCAGGGTTTAGGGTTCAGGACAGAAAGGTCAGTAACAACAAACCTATAAACTTTTGTGAATGAAAAATCTACCAACAATACCTCGCGCCTTTGGAAGAGAAGGTTGAGCAAGTTCAGCTCGACGTGTACATCCGCCAGGAAGTACAAAAAAAACTGGAACTTCAGGCTTGTGACCATGTGGTAACTGGTTGGATCCAGCTGCTTCAGGAGAACCACCACCGCCGGTAGGACCTTCACAAACCGAGCTATCGCGTCTCCACGGCTTAACCACCGGACGGCGTGTATGCCTTGCAGCTCCAGGTTCGTCCGGGTGAACACGGCCTGGATGTCCTTGAATGTCGCGTGCGACTTGCTGTTGCGGCCGAGATGCTCCGCCAATGCACGGATGAGGACGTCGACCATGGCGAGCTCCGGGAGCGCATCTGCAGAATCTTTAGCCGCAAGTGCCTCCCTGCCAGTCAAAAAAAAAAAAAAAGGCGTTAGACAGTCAAAATAAAAACATCAGCAGACTGAAACCTCCCACCTGTGGGCGATGCAGTGGCATGAAACAAGGTGTGGGATGCAGAGTCGAAGTCTCCCAGTAAGTCCGTTGGTTCCGCCGAGCATGACTGGAGCGCCGTCGGTGCTGATCCCTGCGATCTTGCCAAGTGGGAGGCTGATGCTGTCCAGGAAACCGACGAGCACAGCATATAGTGATCCTGCATCGCATTTGTCAACGGTCAAGAGCGTGAGGAACTCAATGGTAACCTCGTGTTCTCGCAAGAAGGTGACGAAGACGATCATGTGCTTCCCCCGCACGTGGTCGGTGCTCTCATCACAGCTCAAGCCAATGAAAGGGCTTGAGTCTATGAACTCGCGTTGCTTCGCACGAAGATAGCTCGCTGTTGCCGACACTAGTTCCTGGAACCCGTACCTACGCAGGCACGGAAAGGGATGCAGTGTTAGTCAGACTAGCTTGGTGGAAACGAGAAGCGGTAACCAATGAGTCTGCCAATACCAAAATACAACGATTTACTTACGTTGTGTAATACGCGCCGTAGCCGTTCTTGGGGAATCCTGGAGTCCCACGGGATGCAAGGTGCCGAACGAGTTGCACCCACATCTCTATGGGTGCGTCCGTCTTTGTAATGAAGAACAGAGTGTCCACCAGTGACTCCACAGCATCGTGCTCCACGTCACGCGCCTTTGGGCAATCGGGGATGCGATGTTGTCCTGTGGCTTTCGCCAATGCCAGCTCCCGGTTGCGAATAGCGTCCCTATGCTTTGTAGTCCGTTGATGTCGTTGCATGGCTTGCGTCTGCACATCCAGAGCCCCCTCGCCTTTCCCGAAATTGGTTCCTGTGCCTCCATACTCCATACACACGGTACACTTCATGGATGGGAATCCATAAGAAGTTTGGCAAATAATTAGCCACGGAAAATCCTCGCTCCATCTTTTTTTAAACATGAGCAAGCTTCCTGGTACTTCTCCTCATCGATGTCAGGAATTTTGGTGTCAGACGAAGCAGTGGCGGCGGTTTCAACAAGCACAGTAGGTTCCGGAGCTTGCCTGGAGACGGAAACGACGACAGTGTTCTGATGTACGGACGAACGACAGTTTCGTCTGGTGGTACCGTTGCACGAAGACCTTCTTGCTCGGAGGTCCTTTCCGGGTTGTCCAAGCAGACTTTGAGCATTCCCCTTGCGTGCGGATTGGTGGAGGCAAGGGCTCGTCGTCAACCACTACCGGTGCTGCTGTCGAGGGAGAAGGCACGGGCGGCTGGGACGGCGATGGGAGGGATAGAGCAGCGACAACAGTTTGTTCTGGTGTTGGGAGTGGCGGTGGAGGCAGCTGAACGGACCTAGTTCGCAGAAAATCAAGGCCCGTCAACACTACTGGCCCGACCGTAGGGTTAGGCATGGCGGGGGCTTCACCATCGCCCGCCGGCGATGGGTCAGCCATGGGCGGTCAAAACGGGAAAATTGATATCAGAGATACGGCGTCGAGGAGCTAGCAAAATTACGGGGAAAACAACAATTCTTGGTCGTCCGCTTGGGGTTCGGTAGGGACTCAACAGCGGGCTGGAGAGGATGGAGGAAGAGACAGACATCCCACAGATTCCGGAACATTCCTATCCCAACCATCCCCATACACATGGAGCCTCGGCCAAATGAGTCGTGGCGCCACTCAACATTCATGAGCTGGCCAGGCAGGCACGCTTGGCTCCAGAAGGTTCAGCTGCGCACGCGACGCATGGCGCCACGTGAAGTTCAGTTGAATGTGTCTGGATGCGGGTGTGGGTTGGATAAGGGACGGGTTTCCGGGCTAGGAGGGAAGCACATGATGCCGGCGTATTGCAATGATAGCCGTGCTTCACCCGCGTGTGAAGTCAGCGGCGCAGTCTCATTGGTCGTTATTACAGCAATGTTGGTGTACACGGTGGGCGCGGCGTGGTTTTGCGCCAGCCATGCAAACAAAATCAGGGCGCCAATCACGGAGCGTAACTAACGCTGTACGTGATCGGTGGTTGGGTACACTAGGGCTCGGGAAAAATTGGCGCAGTACTCGCTTCAGGATGATTCTCAACACTATCCTGACTCATCAGGGCTGAACCGTCAGCCTTATACTGAGTTTCCAGGACGCAAAATATCAGTTATACTGATTTTACAGGACAACTATTGCCCTTATGCTGTTTTTTCAGGACTAGCACAGGACACCTATCCTGACTTCAGGAGAATCATGATAAGTTATCCTGACAACAGAGGCCCTGATTACCTTACTTTGTACAACATCGCGTCAAACCCAAACTCTCGAAAGTGCAGGCTCGACTCTGGAATTATATCCTCAACCCCGAACCAAAGCTCCTAGTCAATCAGGAACCAAAATATCAGGGTAAAATGCCCTGATTACCCTGGGGGGGGGGCGCTTTTTCAGAGTTACCCTTTCAAAATCAGGCTTCCTATATTTTTACCCTTACGCAAAAAGAGTTTGTTTT